GATGATGATTCCTCCACAGTCAATGGTGTTGAAGATCGGGCAGAAAATGATCTGCCAATGGAGGATGTTAGAGGAGGTCTTGCGTCTGAGGCTGAGATTGCACACAAAGATACTGAATATTTTAATGGTTTTCCAGATAATAGTAAAAATCAAAAGGAGCTAGTTGAAAGGACTTTGAATTTTGTTCTCAATAATGTGCATGAAAACAGAGCTTTGCCTTTCCCTGTGGAAGCATCAGGTCCATATAGTCCTGGATCTAGGGGTCAGGGTCCTATGGATCCTAGTGAAAACTCTGGCAGCCCTCATGATGAGAGGTATGAAAATTAAAATTTAATTAATTTATTGACATTTCTTTTGGATAAGGCTCATAGAATTATTTAAAATCAATATTGTTGCTTTCTTGACATTTCTGATTTTATTGTTCTAATTTATACAGATTTCTGCTTAAATCTTTCAACTAAGAGAAAAATTCTGGATATAGTTGTCATAAACTGATAATTAATTATAGTGAAATTGATAAATTAGTTTCCTTGTTTTAGAAGTTCAAGTAAACATACTTTCATGTTCCCTGAAAAGTGAAGGAACTTGGAGGATTGTGGGTTTCTTAAAGAGAGGATGATGTGGTAATATTCTATTTATCCAGAGAGAGAAAATAAATGCTACTCAAGATGGCCAGTTTGAAAATGGATGAAACTGGTAGCTATTCCTTATTATCATTGACTAATCAAATTGCCCTCTCCATAGGTGTAACTAATGGAGATGGATATACTTTTTTCAATTTTTGGCTGTGAAGAGAAACGAATCCCTGTTGCTGTTATGATAAACTATGAAGTTTATGCCTTTATGGTTTTCTTAGCTTGATGTTTAGCATATAATTAGATGGTAATATGACATCCCCATGACTAAATTTTATTAATCCTCTCCTTGACACAGGAATCGGCACAGAAGAGCACGTAAGAAATCCCCAAGCATGACACCTATTCATGGTAAACAGGATAATGTAAATGATACCGATGAGGAAGAATCTGTTGAAAGCATGGATGATAAATTTCCTCTCGTTAGAGATCCCAGGGAGTTAAGTGTGGAGTGCAAGGATGATGTTGATGAAGAACTTCAGTCAGCTGATGGAAGCCCTGATACAGTAAAGGACGAGGTAATAAGTGGCACCCATAAAGATGAGAGTTCACTTAATCCCATGAAAACTGGAAAAATAAGATCTGAAGTAGAGCAATGGAAGCTTCAAGAACTTGACGAGGATGAGGATTCTAGGGTTGCAAGAAGTAGTGAAAACAGCACAGCAAGATCTGGCAGCAGCAGAGATTATCAGAAGTGGCTAGATGGTGCTGAGGATGAAGTTGTTCAAGGTGAACATTCTTGCATTGGGATTGTCAAGAAGCATCTTCATGAACATGATCAGATTTTTCGTAGAAATGATCGTGATGGGAGACATGACATTGAAAGAAATCGCATGGCAGGTAAATCAGGAGATGATTCATATCCTCTTAGAGACTTCGATGCTAGCTTGTCACATAATATGCGTGTTGAAACAGAAGGCTTTATTAGCCGAAGAGAAGAGAGAGTGAAAACCCTGATGGTACTTTGCAGTGGAGGGAAGATGATCTTTATGGCAGGAAAAATAGAACTGGGGACTTAAGGAAAAGAGAGATTGTGATAATGGAATGGGTTCTAGGAACAGGGCTAAGGTTCGAGAAAGTGATTGGAGTCACAAAGATGATTGTCCACCTAGACGACAATCGGACAATGGCAGTTATAAGGATGTCAGTGCGAGACATAGGGAAAGAGATGATAATTTGAAGAGTAGGTATGAAGCAGCTAATGATTACCACAGCAAAAGAAGGAAAGATGAGGAGTATCTGAAGAGGGACCATGCTGACAAAGAGGGCATCATGCATGGACCTAGAGAATCCAGCAGCAGTCGCAGGAAACGAGAAAGAGACGAAATCTTAGACCCGCGTAGGAGAGATGAGCAACTAAGAATACGAGATAATTTTGAAGAACATCAGTCAGCTCGGCACAAGGATGAAGTTTGGTTGCACAGAGAGAGGGTTGAGAGGCAGCGGGAGAGAGATGGATGGGATAGGCTAAAGCAATCCCATGATGGAAGTTTATCAAAACGGGAGAGAGAAGAAGGACGAGGTAATATGAGGAGCGGTCGTCGTTCAGAAGACAAAGCTTGGGTTGGCCATACCAGGGGAAAGGATGAATATAAAGTTTCTGAAAAAGAATACCAACTCAAAGAGACAGTACGCCGCAGTGAACTGGTGAAAAGAAGGGATTGGAATGATGATGACAAAAGTCAAAGAGGGCATGAAGATTTATATGCTCGTGGACACCAATTTAGTAACAATGAGAGAAAATCCAGGCAGGAAAGGTCAAACACTCAGAGTGACCGTGCTGTCAATGCTTCAGATAGCCTAAAGGGGCATGAGAAGAAACACAAAGAAAACACTAGGAAGAATAGAGATTCTGTACCTGGGAATACAATCACTTTGAGTTCTTCCCGGAAAAGCCAAGAAGATTTAAGTGGTCACAACAATGAAACGGTATGTTTCATAGACTCAAGGACATAATGTTTCTTTATTGGCAGGGAGAAAAACCCCACTGCATTTTCTGGAAATGTGCCTATACCTGTACATACTAAGTCTTCTGTTGAAAGATGATGCAGTTTCTTCAAAATTAGAGGTTTTGGTTTTAATTACTCTATCATTGTTGTTTTTGAAACATCTGTTAAGAATTTGGAGGACTGTGTGTCGGTTCTCGGTACCAACACAGTTCTCATGTCCCGGTTATTACTTTTAGATTGAGACTTGAGAGTAACTTATATTCCTCATGAACTCTTCTTTACCTCTATAGACAAAATTACTCTTATTTCTACTTTCATATTAATATTGTAAAGGTTGTACTTCTGAAAGAAAATGGTTAGTTCATCTATTGTCGTTATCATCATCATTATTACTGTTTGCCTTGCTTAGGGCTTGAAAAGTGATGAGAAGAACCAAATACGTCATAACTCTTCCAGAAAACATAGTGAAGATGTTTCTTTGAAGATGTTTCTTTGGATGACGAACAGCACTCCAAATTGGAAAGTTGGACTAGCCATACTGAGAAGGATGACAATATCAACAGCAAGTCATCAGATTCCTTGAAGTTCAAGTAGATTGACAAGATTAATAATGAGGTATCTTCTGAATCTAACAAAATTGCAGATGGACCTGGTAAATCGGTTGAGCTTGCTGAGAACCACTATCCTCCCCTGTCTGACAATAAATATGTTAATGAGCCAGAGATCAAGGATGCTGATACAAGACCATTGGAGGACCAGCACCTTGACACTGTTGAGAAACTGAAAAAGCAAAGTGAGAGGTTCAAACTTCCAATGCCTAGGGAAAAAGATGCCCCGGAAATAAAGACAGAGAGCGAGACACAACCTTCAGTCAAGAATGAAACCCCTGTAGATTCAGAGATTAAACATGAGAGGCCTGCATGTAAACGAAGGTGGGTCAGCAACTAATAGTGGAATAAGCAACCTACATTTTTGCTATGCTGGCTCTGATTTTAAACTGTTTGACCCCAAAGGTCCTGTGCCCCATATTTTGAAGTGGTCACTATATGATTCCCAGGATGGAGATTTACCACAGTTACCATCATACCTCATATGCTATTGTAACAAAGCTGCTGCCATGTACTCTTTTTATCTTTCCAAAGCCATGTGTATATGTAATGTAACATTAAACTGGTAAAAAATGGTGGCACATATTCCGTTAAGAGTCAAATTGAGATGAGTTCATCCGATTACTAATCCGGGTGCGACGAGGATCACACCTGATAAAATATTCAGTACCTTTCTGGCTTGTGTAAAGTTGGCAGCATCATGGATGAGGAACTTGTTCTGATGCTTATGACTTTCAATGCTGATAGCTTTGAAGTTTGAAGAAAAACCTGGTGCTGAACATTGAGGAGATAAGAAGAGACTTTGCACTTGCAATGATTGGAGGAGATACTAAAGGTTTTGGCATGGACGAAAGGTTGATACCTTTATTTGTATTAGTATACCTTAGCTGGATTAGATTATATCAAATTTCTCATATTTAATTGCTTTTCTTACATTTCTTAAATTTTGACAATCGGTGTGGAGAGCTCCTTTTGTACTTGAGAAACAAGTTAACCAATTAGTGATGAAAAGGAGTTACTTTTTTCAATCATCTCCTTCCAAACTGCCAGTACTTATTCATGCAATGATTGTTAAATTCTGCTCTTTGTTTCTTAAACAGTTCCTGTTTCATATTCTCTAATTTCCATCTGTGGTCATCAAATAATACCTAATGCAAGTTGATGACGACGATTTTCTATTAAATGACGATTAAAAATGCAAAAACAAAATATGATCTTAACTTTACATTATATATTTATATTACATATGAAAAAATATATGTATATCGTATATTGTTATAGAAAATTATTTAAATTAGAATCAATCTATACTATAACATTATAAATATCTACAATTAAATTTAAACAAAAACTCAAATAATTTGACTCAAATTTCTTTTATTTAACTTGATTCGCTGAAATTTCAAATAAAACTTAAATTATAAAATAGCATTCCCATTACTCACCCCCTAAATAGCTTCACTAGTCAATAAACTTTGAAATCGGCAAGCATTGAAAATGGTAAAGTCCGGGTTTTCTTTCTTCGTATGAAAGCTCGCTCTGACTCTTAAAATTCAACTTCATAATGGTCAGAAATCAGGTTAGTTTCTTCTCTCGTTGCAATATTCAAATACTTTGATTTTTCGTCAGCAGCATGAAAACATATGTTTTCTGCTATGAAATTGCCCACACGCAAAAATACACAACTTTCAAAGCAAGATTTATGCGTCATTATCATACAAGAATAGTGGAAAAGCAATTTTTAGTTTTCTCCTGTAATCTAAACGTATAGATCTTGCTTTACAGACTAATAAACTTTCATGCATACTTTCTAGACAAGAGATTACTTTTCCAATGGCTTCTAAAACCATCTTCTTCTTCCTCCTCTTGCTGTTTATCTCATTTAAACAAAGCCTTGGCTCAAAAACATGGATCAAAGCTGGTTACTGGGTACCTAGCGGCACCCTTCCTATTTCTGATATAAAATCTGCCCTTTTCACTCATCTCTTTTGCGGTTTTGCTTATGTAAACTCAACCTCCTATCAGCTTTTTATCAACGCCTCAAATCAACAACCTGTCTCTGACTTCACAAATACTGTAAAACTAAAGAATCCCTCGGTTACTACTCTCTTATCCATTTGGGTCGGAAGAACCGAGTCGACCACCTTCTCTTTGATGATTAATCAAACTTCCCATAGGAAATCTTTCATTGAATCTTCAATCAAAATAGCCAGGCTTTATGGTTTTCATGGTTTAGACCTTTATGGGGTTAATAAGCCCATAAATGGCACCAATATGAGCAGTTTGGGTGCTTTATTGGATGAGTGGAGAGCTGAGGTAGTTGCTGAGTCAAGAAACTCTGGTAAGACTCAGTTGCTATTAACTATGTCGGCTTATGGCTTGCCAATTGTCAACTCAGTGAGTTATCATATTGATTCTGCAATACGAAACTTGGATTGGGTCAATATTGTTGCATATGACTACTACGTGCCAACAGTAGAGAGGTTTACTGGTTTTCATGCTGCTTTATATGACCCATCAGGAAGGGCCAACAGTGATGCTGTCATTGGGGAATGGTTAAAGAGAGGATTCCCTGCTGAAAAGCTACTTTTAGGTTTGCCTTACCATGGATTTGGATGGGTACTTGTTAACTCGGGTGATAATGGCGTTGGTTCAGCAGCTTCAGGGCCGGCTAACACGATTGATGGTTCAATGGCGTATTGGTTTATTAAAGCATCCATTCGCAACAATGGTTATGGGGTTGAACCGGTGTATAATTCTACTTATGGGGTGAATATTTGCAAAATGAGATCGATTTGGATCAGTTTCGATGATGTGGAAGCCATTAAAGCTAAGGTTTCTTATGCCAAGGTGAAGGGCCTACTTGGTTATTATGCCTTTCAGCTCTCCAGTGACGATAATTGGTTGCTTTCAGAAGCTGGTAAGATAGTTATCTCCCTTAGTTTCTATGGAATCTCTGGTCTCTATGTTAGAACGCTTCAATATTCGTAGAGAAATACTGAAATTTCAAACATTGACAATTTATTGCCTCTATTTAGTATATTTTGACTTTCAGGGCTTTCTAATTTAATAATCTATGACTTTTTTAATGAGTTTTTACTGCTTTTAGGGTAGAAAATTAGGGTGTCTTGTCAACTTTGCATGCTAAAATATTAAAGAACAGATCTTTTTTTGCTGAAGTTTTGAAATCATTGCAAAACCTTGTACTATAATTCATGTAATGAATAATATATAAATGTTCCACAGCTTATGGAATAGGCACTAGTAGTCAGCAGAAGAAACACCAGTTATCGGTGATTGTTCCAGTTACAGTTGCTGTAATTTTTCTACTGATGATGGCTATCATCTGTTACCTGCAAAAGAAAATATTCAAATCACAAGGTAACTTATTGAACATGTGTGAATTTGCAATGCTTCGAGATGATAATCATACGTTAAATCAACAAGGTTTCGATTGCAGGGCTTTTGAGTGTTGCGAAAATGTCGGTTTCATGGATAAGAACCAAAATATCAGCTGAAACAAAGCATGGAAATAGTGATCCTAGTCTGGAAATTTTGACATTCTCTACCATTAAAGCTGCCACAAAAAACTTCTCGAATGAGAATAAGCTTGGAGAGGGTGGATATGGACCTGTTTACAAGGTAATAAATTAGTACTCTGTTAGCCATTTCCGAGAACTGTATGTTTGCTGCTTACCTGCAGGAGCCTCTGAAATTCCAATACATTCAAACGATGAAACTACTCATTGATTATTAACAAATAACAAGTTAACTGTTGATTGAACATTTACTTGGTATTCGGAACTATTAACTGCAATGTGAATGTTACAGGGAAAGTTACCGAAGGGGCAGGAAATAGCAGTGAAGAGGCTCTCGAAGAGCTCGAGTCAAGGTTTTGAAGAATTCAAAAACGAGGTCACTCTTACAGCTAGGCTTCAACATGTGAATCTAGTTCGAGTTCTGGGAATTTGTACTGAGAAGGAAGAAAAAATGCTGGTTTACGAGTTCATGCCGAACAAAAGTTTGGATTTATACCTCTATGGTATTGTTAAGAACATTTTTATGGCATGTTATTCCATGTTGGTGGTTTCATTAACTTGTCCTAAACTTCTTAAGCTTAAAGTATGTGTTGCTTATTCATTTGATCAATGCAGATCCACTTAGAAGACATCTGTTAGACTGGAGAAGACGAGTTTCGATAATCGAAGGTGTTACACAAGGGCTTCTATATCTCCAAGAATACTCGAATTACACGATAATTCATCGTGATATAAAGGCGAGCAACATCTTATTAGATGATGAAATGAACCCGAAAATATCAGATTTCGGCATGGCCAAGTTCTTCAAGAAGGAAGAACTCGAAGCAAACACTGGAAGAATTGTTGGGACATAGTAAGTGAACCAGATATTGTCAACTAATACATATCAGATCGTTTTCCAATCTCTCCCATTGCATCTATATCTTGTTAGTAATTCTTCAATTCAATGTAGTGGCTGCGTTCCTCCTGAATATGTAAGGAAAGGAATATACTCTACCAAGTACGATGTTTATAGTTTCGGAGTTTTACTTCTGCAAATTATAAGCGGCAAGAGGAATTCCAATCTCTATGGATGCCATGAAAACTTGCATCTCCTTGAATTTGTAAGTAACTTTGAGGCACCCATTTTTCCTTTTCATGGCACAAATATCGGAAATGCATAATGTCGAAATGATATCCAGGCTTATGAATTGTGGAAACAAGGTCGAGGAACAGAGTTTTTCGATGCGTCACTGGACGATTCATCTTCGTCGTGTAAGCTCATTACATGTATGCAAGTGGCACTGCTATGTGTGCAGGAAAATGCTGCGGATAGACCGTCTATGGTGGAAGTTTCCGCGATTCTCAAGAACGAAAGAAGTGTTGCAATCTCTACACCTAAGAAGCCTGCATATTCAGTTATAAGAGATGAAGATAGAAAAAGTATAGGCACAGAGAGGAAGAATGTTTTTTCTGTCAATGATGCGTCGATAACCCAAGTGGCACCTCGATGACAGAATGTGAACGTATTTGCACACATTTAAGTATAAGAAATATGTTTTTACTAATCTTTGATCATGCAGTTGCAGATATTAATGGTGTTGGGGTTAGTCGAGTTGATTTATGTTGTACAAAAACATTATTTCTCTACATGAATAAAATTGATGATTTAGCAAAACCATTTTAACTCAGTATGATGATAAACTCTACGATCGATAGTTGCATAGGATATGAATGTGTCCTTTGAACTTCCCTTGTGACAATATATTTACTGTATTGACTAACCAGTAGACATGATGTCTTTGAACAACTATGTTGTTTATGTAAACGATGACATACTTCATATAACTACTTTTCTGACAAGAATTTAGTTTTCATGGGTATGTCTTTAAAGCCATGGAAATCGCCTGGTTCTACAAGAGTTTGAAAAAACTATATCCAAAAGTCTCCTTAAAGCGGTCCCATTTCACTCTCACATAGGTGATTTATGTTGCTTGGCTCACTGAAGCACACAATGGTCATTAAAAGCTTTGCTTAGCCTATATCACTTTGATCGTTGTTTACATCATAGGAACGAATTTGGGATAAGAAACCCCACAGTGACCGTACATGATTTATGCAATTAGGTTCTCTCTCTGAATTTAGATCTTAAGATCTCCAATCAACTAGACAGGGTTTTACTTCACATAAAGCCTTTAAATTTCATGGGCTTTAGTCACGTTCTTTTGGATGTTTTCACAACTTGATCTTAATTTAACTCATTAGTTAGTGGATACACGATGTTATCCTTTGATCTTACAAAATCAATAGAGATAATGCTATTTGAGATCAGTTACCTATGGTATTGTGTCGACGACGCACATATCTGACTTACCATTATACTTAAAATTTTATGCCAGTCACAATATATGCATGTTAGGAGCACATGTTTAAGCCATTCAGGAATATCTTCTAAGAAATTTTAAATCCATTCAGCTTATTCTTTAGACTCATCTAGAGCTACAAACTCAGACTCCATTGTAAATTTGATTATCAACGTTTTCTTAAGAATTTCCATGACATGGCTTCTCTTCCCGATGTGAAACATATTCACTTGTGTCGTTGATATCTTGAATATCAAATTTCAACTAGCATCAATCTACCCTTCTAAGATAATAAAATAGTCAAAGAAAATATAAATCCATCGTTTAGGACCTATTTTCAGTTGTTTTGGTAATGGAGTCATTACCTTCTCAAGACAACCCCACATTTTCAAGTGTTTGTATGAACATGTTTTGGACCTTTTTATAACTCTATGGTGTCTTATCTTTTTTTCTTTTGTGTGAATCTTATTTAAAAGGAAATTAGTTGATAGAACAACTTCTCCTTTCTCCACATGTTCTGTGATAACCCAGAACTTTCTAGCATTGCTTTTATTGTTTCCTTTAAGGTTCAGCTCTTCCGCTTTGCTACTCTATTTACTCTAGGAGAGCACACTAATATCACTTCATGAATAATATCATAATCTACACAATCACTTATTATCATCTTAATATTTTAAGTTGGTTTTCAACTTTATATTTAAAGAAAATATTTTTCTATATAATTTCACTTTTGTTGCTTTAGCAAATACACATAGCAATATTTTTTTTATCATCAATGGAGGTAATAAAATATTTATTCTCCATTATTACGAATTTTAAGAACTTGACCACTAAAATTTTTATACTGTCAGCATCTTATGTTTCATATTTATGATCTAACGTCATCCATAATTATTTTATTAATCTTATGCATAATATACACATTATAATGTGTATCAGATAATACATGAAGTCAGAGTGCTACCAAGCTTTAACACCTATGAATATGAAAACAATGTTTACCTCATCTTCTCTAATAATATAAGGATAATCTGATATTTAGCCAAATATATCAAATAAAATAACATTTTATGTTATCATATCTTAAAATTCTATCCATAGAATTTTGTTTTAACACACGAAATTAGAATTAATAATAATTCAAACAATAAACAGAAAGTAAATTTTTGTTTATTCTCCTAACAAAATTTAGTTAGAAACTAAAGTAACAAACTTGTTACTTTCAAACGATTTCTATTATAAATAGTAATCAAATAATTTTGTTTGACGACAGAATTAAAATCTCAGTTGATTTCAAATACGAAATCAAAGATTCTAATGAACAGAAAATTAATTCTCGTTTATTTTCGGTTATGTTATCGGACAAAATCAACGTTCTGAAACAAAATCAGTAACTGTATGTGATTTGTGACTACTAAATATGGTCGCGAAATATGTGCAAGTATACACAATCGAACAAGTAATACAGTGATGAGTGAGTATCGTATCCACAGGGATTTGAAGAAATTTATAAGTTCAATCAAAGCAATTAACTACTTTATCTAAATATAGTTAGTGCAATGGTATATACAAATGAGAATGCTGAGGCAATGTGAAATGTATGTTGGTGGGAATGGAATGATGGTGTGATGTGGGAGCAAATAGGGATGTCGTGGTAAAATGGATGTAAATGTCTTGGCAAAAATAGATTGAGCGTAGTGAAACCAATTGAAAATGTAAAGGTAAAGCAAAATCTAAACACTCGATTTGAATAAAATAACTTTAGAATCCTCACAACAAGCTACTATAGGAATGAATGATAGGAGACACTTAGAAAACTTAAGTCTATCTTCTCAGGATGGTCTTACTTCTATGCCTTACTTGCCCGACAGAGTTTACAAAAGGTGTCCTATGCTATCTCTAGTCAAGGGACTATACAGGTTGAGAATGCCTTGGAAATACCTCTCGGCGTTAGCAGGTGCAGGGATCCTATTGGTTCAGATAAGCAGAATATGTCACGGCAATACCACTTTGCATCAGCATTAACATCTAACCTTTCGACCGAGCACTACTCCTTTTAGCCAATTGAAATCCTAGCCTTATGTCTAGTTACTATCTAGAACACATTGCTTATGTGGATCCTCATTAGTTTCTCTCGAACACTAAATATATGTTATTTAGTCAAACACAAAATATATGTTACTTAGTCATTCTCTCGAACACTAAGCATTCTCCTAAGGAATGACTATTCTCTTAGCTTTTACAACCATAAGGCATTAAACATCATAAACAAAACAAATAACAACATAAAAAAACAACCATCCATTAAAATAAAACTTAAGCATCCATAATGAACTTTAACCAAATAAGACTAGTTCATGGAGGGTTCGAATATTCCAAGCAACAAGGCATGAAGATCATTCGTTTCATACAACCCAAATATGATAAATGATAAAAACATCAAAGGGATGGAGGAAAAGCCTTCGACGTGCACTGTCGGAGCTCCTCCCGACCACCACGAATTGTCCTAGCTCGCTAGCTCCTCTCGGACGTCTAGCTCGCCACTCCCTCTAGCTTGTTAATGGAGGAATGTCATGACAGAAACGATTGACGAAAAAAGGGACATTTTCTTTAGAAATTAAGCTCAAACGTGGTGTGAAAATGAAGGAAGTCCCTCATCCGATGGCCTTATCTCCTATTTATAGTGGGAAATAAACCTAGGGATTTGTATCAAAATTCCTAGGATACCCCGAGTTGTTCTCTTCACGTGAGGGATGATGCAGAGATGGCAGTGGTCTCCTCCTAGGCGGCTGGCAGTGGTCCATCCTGTGAGAATTGCAGTTGGGCGTACGTACAGATACGATTAGCCGACCCAGGTGGCAGATGTTCCCTCCTAGGTGTCTGACAGTTGAAGGCACGTGAAGACAAGGACAGCTGGCTGAAAAATATCTTCCTTTGTCTTTCTCGCTTCCAAAATGACGTCCGAGTTGGCATTTGTATTCTGCTCAGCATTCCCAATTTGTCATGACAATTCTCCTCGCTTGTCCTTGCTCCTAAATCCTGCACATCATCAAACAAAACACATTCCCCATAACGCAACATCGTTTTCAAAATAAAATTCCACGACAAAATATATTTCCACCACATGTAACTATATGCTCCTAAATGCATCTATATGATCTTATATGAGTTCTTAGACAACCAATAACTTAAGTGAAAATGCCCTAAATATGACATTTTTACGGAGTTATATGTAATCAACGTTACTTTCAAGACAATTTCTGTTAAACAGATTTGTCCACTCTGAGATTTTTACAAACACGTTAAAACAGAAAGATAAATCCCGAAATATATTTATTTGCTATCTCTTTTTTACCACTATATCTGAATCGTTTTAGATTAAAGAAAGATAAAAGAAAGGATTCTAAATCATCTTGTATTAAAAAGAAAATATTAAAATTTTACCAATATAATTGACTTCATCGTTGTCAATCAAAAACTTCAACAATCAAAATTCAATGTGTGGCCTCACAAAATGTACAACCACAAAGACTTTGTAAAGATTTTGAAATTCAATTATTTGAATTCTACATAGAAATTTGTGGAACCATGTCTCGTGTAAAAAAAATCTGTACACGTAAGATTTTAGAATTCATAATTTAGGTTCATTCCATGGTTCAAAGCAAAAGGTCTTTCTTGCTTTATCTCGTTTGATAGCCTTGTGTGTGATCCTTCTTTGGCTGACTCAATGTTTCCTAAAAATTCATCGATGGACAACATAGCGATTTGGTCTCCTCCATCTCCTGGGTTTTTAAAACTCAATGTTGATGGTGCTATGAAACAGGATTGGAGCGCTGGGGAATAGGGGATTTGCTTCGAGATTTGGATAGTAATTGCTTGGCTTCCTCTTCTAAAGCTGTTAGGCAAGGGCCCCCCGTCAGAGCAGAGCTCCTTGCGATTAAGTAAGGAATCGTGTTGTTTTTTAATTTTGATAGAAGCAAGAATTTTATGTTGATCTTGGAAGGTGATTGCAAGACCGCTCTTAAGTTGATCGCAAACCCTGCTTCAAGCCCTGGCCCTTTTGCTCATCCCGTTAAGGAAATTGAAGCGGTTGCAAAGTCTCACGATGTTATCTTTCGTCATGTCAGTCGGTGCACTTAATGCAAGGGCGGATGATTTAGCTAAGCAAGGAATTGGGTAGTGGGTTTTAGTTTTCGGTCTTACTGGGAAGATTTATGAGCTTTGTTTCTGGGT